TATGGACTTGAATCCTTTGAATCTTAATCCAACACTCTTAATCACTGTGATCTCTGGAAAAGTATGATTTAAAATGTGAGTCAATTGGAAAACTGAAAAAGAAAGACTTATGTGTATGTGGAAAAGGCAATGAAACTATAAATCAGAGAGCAAAGCTTTCTATGATGTCAGGAATTGTATCACTTCCTTTCCTTTAGATGGCACCATTCAACCATTCTGCACCTTTGCAGCCTTCCTAATATGAGGCAATTAGTATTCATGGTACAAAGTACATAAATTTCCTTTGTTATCCCAACGCCTAAAACATCCATAATATTGAGTACCGAGATGATGTTAGCATTTCTACCAGGAGTAATATTTTCATGGAATGGTGATTATATCCTTATTGGGAAAAACTTGGAAAGCCCCAATACTTCTTCAACATCTATGAAATATGTAATTTTGTGAGAATCCTTTTTAATTCATAAGGTGAATAACTGAAACCATGTATAACTTATCTGAATCAACAGCTCTATACAGAAAGTCACTAGAACTACAACAAACATCTCCCATGTCACCACCCACTGGAAGTCCAAAAGAAGAGGAGGTGGCACTCATCTTGAAAATGAGATCTTATGGGCTTGAATCTCCCATTCATATATTATGGGAAGAAAAATCTAGTAATTGCCACTTTTATATTTTCTCTGTATTTTTTGCCCAAACTACTAATCACCACCCCTAAGCACCTGGAATGTGATCAGAATGCTTTTAGATCCATTGCAAATACTTCCCCAAAATAGTTACTTTGGAGCAATATACTTTTTTCACAAGTACAGGAAGTCCTCGACTTACAACAGCTCATTTAGTGATCGTTCAAAGTTACAACCTCCCTGAAAAAAGTGACTTACAACTGTTTTTCATACCACCGTTGCAGCATCTCCCTGGTCACATGATCAAAATTTAGACACTTGGCAAATGGCTTATACTTATGATAGTTGCAGTGTCCCAAGATCACATGATCCCCTTTTGCAACCACCTGACAAAGTCAATGGGCAAGCCAGATTCACTTAATAACAGTGTTACTAATTTAACAGCTGTGGTGATTAATAACTGTGGCAAGAAAGGTCATAAAACGGGGCAAAATACATTAAATAAATGTTTCACTTAGCAACAGAAATGTTGGGCTTAGTTGTGGTTGTAAGTCAAAGACTACCTGTAAATGTCTTTAGAATGGAGGGTCGTCCTAATTGAAATATTTGCTAAAGTTCAAAAAGTGCAGAAGATTTTAGCATGAGGACATTTCACCAGTGATTTGCCTCTAGAACTGGAGGTTCTATTTAGTCTGAATTTATTTACATATTTCTGATTCTAATGACCGACAGATCTTTGTTTCCATTAATTTGCTTAATCCAGCATCTAAAATATCTTATCTAACTATATGCCAGAATGAGGTAACAGAATGTTGTGTGGAAAATGTCTTAATCTGCATTTGTGATACATAAAGAATACTATTTTTGAATAAGAGAATAGTGATTTCGCCTTGTGCGAAAATCACCATACAATCTGTATATCAAGTTCAATCGTTTTTGTCTATTAAGATGATTTTCTATTTGCAAGGAATACTGATCTCAGGCAGAATCTGAAAAAGGCATTTCCTAGCTACAGTTCAGACTTTTGCAGTTCAGTCTGACAGAGGTGCAGAAATCTATCACCATTTTCTTTAAAATCAAAAATATTTTTATTTCCCAATGTGCACTTAGATACAGTGAGTGTAACAGCAGGAAATAGCATACATTGCATTAGAAAAAAATCATTAAAATAGTGTTCAGGAAGATTATATTAAAATCAGCATGGATTTGGGAAGGCTTTATCATATTATGGCTGGGCATCCAGGGAAGGAACGGCAGAGTGAAGTCTGCTCCATGAAAATTGGAGCTGATGACCACAGCAGAAAGAGGAATAATTCCTCTTAGACAAAGATAGGACTTGAGATCACACACAAGTGCTCCAGACAGTTGTGTCTTGTGAGAGGAAGAGAGGTGGGGGGAGGGAGGGAGAGATGGAATAAAGAGCAAAGGGATGAATAAAACTTTCATTTTAGAAAGTTTGAAATGGACTAAGGTTCTTGGTAAATTTGAAATAAGATTTTGGAATGAATAATTCTTCCTGTGGGAAAATGTTTTTCTTTTGATTTTTTTTAAATAGTGAGATAAAACTTTAAAAATTGTATACCAGAGAGTACTATGGGGAACTAAAGATTATAATTCAAGGCAAAATACAAATAGCAAACTAAGAGCATGACTGGATAATTTTCCTATAATGGATTTATAAAAAAAGTTTTGAAGAAATTTGTGAGAAGGAAAAAATAAATAAGAAATAAATTACAACATTATTTGAAGGGACTAGAAGGGACTGTTACAAATAAAAGGAAGAGATGTAAAGTTGATTTATTTGATCAAAGTTAAAATAAATTTATTTTCTCTGGTAATCCTTCATGTACTTTTGTTGACATCAGGACTGAAAAGGTGATGCTTTATGGATTTGTTTGGAGATAAGAGATGGGATGTGGGAAGAAGTCATAATTTGTTGTATTTTAAGAGAAAGTGTTAAGTTACTAAAATGGTTTATAGTTGTTATGAAGGAGAAAGTGACTTCTTTATATATTTCTTTTCTTTTTTTACTATATTTTTTTCATTTTTTCTATGTTTTCTTTCTTTTTTCTTCTTTTCTACACTTTTACTTTTTAGTCTTTAGTTTATATTAATTTTTATTGTGATAATTGTAGTTTTTAATAAAATTAGTATTACAAATAAATATGGCTAGGTTGTATACATTGAATACATTATGTATACAATAATTGAAGTATACATTAAGGAAGTTGTGTTTCATAGGAAATTATGTGGCTATAATGAAAAAAGCATGCATTTAGATAATTATAAAATTTATAAGAAAATAGTAATTTGTGGGGAAATGTGTTAATCTATTCAAAATATTTTGTTAATAAATCAAATGAGCAGACTTTTATAGGTAGTTCTCAGTTAAAATAGTATTTGAGATTGGAATTTCTCATGTTAAGTGATGCTGTTATGAAGTACAACATCATGTGATTACATTGCTAAACAACAGCAATCCCTCAGTCCCCAGCTGCCATTTTTAAGTGAGAACAGTATGGATCATTACATGAGGACCTCATATGATTGTGATTTCCAATTTCTTGCCAGTTTGCCCACTGAGTTTCCTTCGATGACTGGAAAGCTGAGGTCCCCAACTGAGATCACGTAACTGCAGAAGCACTGCAATGTTGAAACTTCCAGGACCAAACATAGGTTCCAATCATTCAGCACCATTGTGCATTCAAATGGTCATTGAACAAGTGATCATTAAGTGAGGACAACTTGCACATAGATACATGTAGTACAGTGTAGTCTGGATTTCCATTAATTTGCTCATTTCTGCTATTAACTACCATTCATGAAGATATCAATTCTTAGAAGGCAATAGTTTGACAAATTCTGTAAGTATGATGTGAAAGAAATCATTCCTTTTATCTTTTTTCTGTCCTAGAACTACCACAAACCCCAATAAATGACATGAAGATTGTTCTGCTTTAATCATAATGGAGTGCAGGTAGGAAAAAATTAGAGGATTCCATATCCTTCTAGTTAAAAAATGGAATGAAAGGACATTTTGTACATGAAACACAATGAGAAGGAACTACAATTTAGCAAACTAGCATTCTAGCACAACTTGTCACAAAGATCCTACCCATCTCAGCAGAAGTGCTCAACCTTCGGAATAGGATCTATAGGCTGAAGTTATCCTCTTTTTTCTGTGTCCCCTTTGCCCTATGTCATTACTATTGCTTGTCTCCCTACTACTCTTTCTCCTCCACCTTGTTTCCCTGCTTTCTTTGGTACCATCAACTCTCAAAAACTAGCTGCAGCTAGATCAGAATAGGAGAATCCATCTCAATTGTATTATCCATATGGATTGGATACACAAAATGTCAACCTACTGTCAAGTGTTTAAGGAGAATTTTATCCAATACAGGTGTAGAAATGGCCAAATAAATTATTCTATCCATTATCCTGGATTTTGGAGATTTCATGTTGCTCGCTGCCAGTCTATTCTCAGCCTTTTGGGGTTCAGGACACGCCTGGCCGTTGATTTCCTGTCATGGACTAATAAAGTAGCTTTAGCCAAGACAGCTCAGATATCAAGCTCAGCTTGAAGATGCTTTGTTTGGGTAATAATTTTGAATCATGGCTCTGAAGGTCAAGTAGTGCAATCAGGTTTACAGCAGAAGATATATGTACAGGATCAATTGCTATTACAACAAGTATGTAAAAAAAAAAAATCACTTGTCTGAGACAGAAAAAGTTCAAAATAAATTGGGAGCATATTTTACATTATGGAGAATCCCATTTGGCAGCAAAAAGGCCCAGGAATGTTTCAGATACAACCAATTGAGTGGCTGTTGTCAATTTTTGGCATCCATTTGATTCAAGGAATCAAGGTTCATTACGATTATTGGCAATTCTCTGATAAAACAACAACAAATCTTAACTATTTTATAGAACTTCAACAAAATAGATCCCAAGATCTGCCAGATTATCATTATTGGTTTCTCTGTTAGCACCACGTTTTCAATTATGCTCCTTTATGTCTTGGCAATTATTTTTGAGAAACATAACCTACAACTGAAGATGGGATTATATCCCTATCCATTTCCTATAGACTCTTTATTAGTTAGAAAATCCGAGCTCCAATTAATAGCTCAGCTAATTAAACCTCTGCCTTTGCTAATGCAAGGAAAAACGCTCCGTTTTCCCTAATTTGACAGTGACGGGAGAATAAGCGGAGTTTCTGAATCAAACACTGCGAGGGGAGACGAGGCGTTTGGCTTTGCTTTTAGCAACTCGGCCTCTGAGCTTGGCGGAAAAGAGATTGGCGGATGCGCTCACTAACGCCGCTGGATTTCCTCCCCTTATGAGGAAGGCACGGTGGCTGAAGAAACGGCCTCGGGATTCCGCAACAGTAAAGCACAAACCAGCATACTGTGCTGTAAAACCCTTCCAATATATCTTGCAGTCGCTTTTTGGTCAGACCCAACGCGGTTTCTACGCAGCTTTTCAAAAAATCGGTTCCATCCTGAATCAGTCACCGTTCAAGGGAAAGAAACGGACCCCTCAATAGGTTTCCCCATTTTCAAAAGAGCCGCGTGCGTGTGGGCCGCTGCCGGGGCCGAGCGGGTCTGGGAATGGCACGCAGCGCCCATTTTGTGTCCCGAGTCGGCCGTCCAGCTAAAGCAACGCCTGGAGAAGCCGGCTTCTGTGCGCCCATGGCCTCAGCTTTATCGGGCCGTTTGTTCGGTCCCTTCTTTTGTAATTGAGGTCAGTGGGTCAGATGCTGATAACAATGGACAAGCTACATTTTCTGGAAATTAATTTGCGTAAAAAGAAGTTGTCTTTTCTTAAAAGCACAATTATTTACTTTTGTGTTTCTTATCGGGAAACAATATCTAGGTGGGGTGGGGTGGGGGAAGTTTTACTGTTTATTTGCCAAAACCATTATCACCACTGTCATAAGCAATAACTGGCAGAGAAGAAATAGCTTTAGTGTGTTGCAGCAAAGTCAACAAAGGGTCTTCTGACACCCTTAAGGCATCTATTATGGCTTGGGTCTTCCTGGACTAAAGGAATGTGTAACCCAGGATAGTTTCTTTAATGCAAACGTGTAGGCTTCAACTTGATCAACCTGGATTTAATTCAGTTCTAGAGCAGCTATTTAAACACAGCCATAATTTTCCTGCTATTAAAATTGCTGGTCCTAAAAACTGCTGAATTTGTATGAGTAATAATTATAAAAAAGATTCCATTTCCTTTCTCCACAATTTTGCCATAGGTTGCATTTGATCATTTGAGGTGCTGCTTTCATCTTTAGCATTTTTTTAAAAATGCTAAAGTAATCATAAGTAATCAACAAAGAAACAGAATAGGGTGGATAAAACATTTTGAAAAGTTAAACCATGTTACATATATTTTCTCAATGTCTGTAAAAAAAAAGAAAAATAAGGAGTGAGTATTGTTTGATAACACTGGAGCAGTGATACATTTCTGACTGATTTTTAAAAAGTACAAAATACCAAAAGATTCTAAGCCGCCCAAAGTTATCCTGTGGTAAAATGGATGGATAAATAAATAAATACATAATAAATAAATAAATAGCAATGCTCTTGACATATTTAGGGAGGCTTGGGTAAGGTGCTCTCAAAGTCCCCATGGTGATGCTACCCTGCAGTCTCAAAAAACTGTCACCCTGCTTTGTTCTATCCAGCTTTCTGCTCTTTCCCGCTTCTCATTGTTCTCAGCATACATTTCTCATAAAAGAAAATACCCTCTGCACACAGCTGGTGGAACCAAGTGACATTTTTTCTCTCTCTTCTTTTCCCAGTCACCAGGCAATGCTGAGAAGGAACCCCCTCCCAGCCCAGAATTGCCTGACCTATTGATAATTGAAAAAAGGTAGAAGAATGCTCAACTTCTTGACTACTTCTCCCTGTTCTTCTCCATTTAGGAAACTTAGAATGGAAAATAGTTATTGCTTTTTCTCTAGGAAATAAAGGTATCAGCAAATGCTCCTGAAATTCACTGTTTTTAAAGTGGAGTACAGTAGTTGTACTTAAGGGTTGAAATGAGAGGTCCTTGGCAGTGGTGAAATCCACCCCGTTTTGCCACTGGTTTGCTGCCCGCGTATGCGCGGTTCATGCCAAATGCACACTGCATGCATGCACTGTGCGCCAAATACAAGCTGTTGCATGCACATGCGCAGTACATGCCAAATGTGCACTGCACGTGGAAAAAAGGCTTGGGAAGGTAAGTAGAACAACGAGGGGGGGGGACAGCTGTGCCGCACAATTTAGATTTACTAGAAAGCAGTATTTCCTGCTTTCTGACTATTTTAAATCGTGCGGCACAGGTGATCGTCAGAAATACCTGTTTGGACCAACTTCTTTTTACTACCGGTTCGCTGAATCAGTAGCTTTTATCACTACCTGTTCACTTGAACCGGTGCGAATCAGTAGGATTTCACCACTGGTCCTTGGTGCTCTCTGAGCTTGCTTGTTTTCTTGCAGGTGTTTCATTACCATAACTAGATAACAACATTAGTGCTAGTGGTGACAGCCTCTGAGCAACCTTAACCCTAACCCTATGACTGGCACCATCTATTGACTAAATCAATTTCAGGCTACACATATTTTAAAAAATATTCTGAAGTGCTTTGGACCTCTGATTTACACTGCACTTCTCAGCTATTCATTAAAGCAGTCTATTTTTTTTTCAGGTTCTGTAACTTTATTCATTTTAATGCACGGATCCCTTAAAGCAGTGTTTTTTGTGCCTCTCCCACACCCCAAGGGTCATGCCTAAGCCTGAAGAAAGTTTAGTCATTCTATTTTTTAGCAAAGAGATCCTGTCATCATGGACATATATGGTGCAAAGGACTTTTTTACATTATTTTCAAAGCATGTGCAGCTCTACTATCCACACCCTTATAGAAATCAGAAATTATTTGTAACAATAATTTTCTAATTTGATTAAATGAGTGTGCTACAAAGAATGCAATGATTTCTGATTTGGAGTTAATGTGTCTCATTTGGTGTTTTTGTGTCTCATTAATCATCAAATCTCACTGTCTTTCCTTTATATCATTGGGAATTGAAAAAGCTTGGCTTAGTGTCTTTTGTGATTATTAAGATATTTGAAACCTATAACAGCAAATTTAGAAGCTGCTATCTCACAGTGGCCTTCTGAATAAAGAAACTGTAACAGAGTTAATTTCCTTCTTTTCATGTTACTGCATTCAAGAATTTCATTTAGGAGTTTATCTCAGCAATTCTGTCCTGTGCCCCTCCTGTCTAACCCTGTTTGCTGAGTTACCCAGGGTTTAGTGACAAGTTCTACTTGAGTAAATTGTATTTAGACAACAATATATTTCATTCAAGCTTCTTGCAATGATTGGGCCAAGGTCAGTTTTATATTCTGCTGAAATCATAAAGTGACACTCGAGATAAACAGAATGTTTACTCTCTCCATGTGAGCTGGAGCTGATATGTAAATTTATCCTTATTCTTTCATCAAATTTGCATTTACCCTCTTAGTCAAACACTACAGAGCTCCAAATCAAACAGTTTTAATGGTGGTCAACTCTTTATGACCGATTGTCGTATCAGAGGGAAAAGAAGCTGCAATTTAGATTAAAATGCAAAGAATAACACAACATACTGTGTGTCATCCGGTTTGCAATAACTGGATAAACTTTCCATAGAAGTGAATGGTTTTTGATGCTTAGCTGCCTAAAAGGCAATTGCTGTATTCTTGTATTTTTATTACTCTGCCTTTATCTGCAACAAACAGGCTATACTTACCTGTCTTTGTTATTTTCATCCTGATCAAACAAATGAGGTGCTGCTAAACAATTTCCTTCCTTTCTTGCCACTTTCTAATCTGCATGAAATGAACACAATTTGATCCACAACAAAAAGATCTATATCCTTCTGTCTGTTATGCTTAAGATACCATGCCTACTGTACAATCAAGCTTCAGAAAGAAAAATGGGATTCTATAGACAGGCTTCTATATTTACTGCAGCTTTTTTTTTTTTTAAACAAAATCAGGGTATGCTACTACGTATGCAAATCAGAAAGGCTGATCATTCCCTGAGAAAGTTAGGGAAGTATTTTGTAATTTAGGGCTGGAAATAGGCAACTATTTTTAGACTAGTGATGTAGGAGAAGATTTGCCCCCTTCCCCTTCTTTATCTGGACTTGGTTTTTGTCTCTGGACAGTGGTTGAGTGATCTCGAGATAGGGGATATAGTCATCGAGCCCTTGTCATGGTCAGATCACTCGCTCCTTCGCCTTGACCTTCGAACCGCGGCACCCCGCTGCAGGGAGGCGGAACCGATAAAATGGTACCGCCCCAGGCGCCTGATGGAACCTGATAGGTTCCAGATGGAGCTTGGGCCAATCCCGGAGGTTCTGGCTCACGCCTCGTCTGAGGACCTAGTGGCCGCCTGGGATAGGGCGGCTGCTGGAGCCCTGGACCGAGTCGTGCCTTTGCGGCCTCTGACCCGGCACCGGTCTCGCCTGGTTCCTTGGTTTACCAAGGAGCTGAGGGAGATGAAGCGCCGGAAAAGATGCCTAGAGAGCTGTTGGAGGGCTAGTCTTTCTGAATCTGACCGAACACTGGTAAGATCTCATATTAGGAGTTACCTAGTGGCGATAAAAGCAGCAAAATGTACCCATTTTACTGCTCTTATTGCGTCATCAGATAATCGCCCGGCCGCCCTGTTTAAGGTGACCCGCTCCCTGCTCCATCAGGAAGCGCGGGAGGACCCCTTGGAGGGAAGAGCCGAGGATTTTGTTCAGTATCTGTATGACAAAATCACTCAGATTCGGGCAGGTCTGGACTCTGACTGGATAGATCCAGCGAGGGTGACGGAGGCAGGTCTTGAGACTGTTATCTGGGATGAGTTTGATCCTGTGACCCCAGATGACGTAGACAGGATTCTGGGTAGATTGAACGCGACCACATGTTTGTTGGACCTGTGCCCCTCCTGGTTAGTGCTGGCTTCCCGGGAGGTGACATGAGGCTGGCTCCAGGGGATTATAAATGCTTCATTGGGTGAGGGTGTCTTCCCCGCCGCCCTGAAAGAGGCGGTGGTAAGGCCCCTCCTCAAGAAGCCTTCCCTGGACCCGGCAGTATTGGCTAATTATCATCCAGTCTCCAACCTTTGCTTCGTTGCGAAGGTTGTTGAGAGTGTGGTTGAGCGACAGCTTCCCCAGTACCTGGATGAAGCGTCGTATCTAGATCCGTTCCAGTCGGGCTTTAGGCTTGGGTACAGCACGGAAACGGCATTGGTCGCGTTGGTTGATGATCTCTGGAGGGCTCGGGACAGGGGTTGTTCCTCTGTCCTGGTCCTGTTAGACCTCTCAGCGGCTTTTGATACCATCGACCATGGTATCATGCTGCACCGGCTGGAAGGGTTGGGGGTGGGAGGCACCGTTTTACGGTGGTTCTCCTCCTTTCTCTCTGACCGGTCGCAGTCTGTGTTGACAAGGGGGCAGAGATCGACCCCGAGGCCCCTTATATGTGAGGTGCTGCAGGGATCGGTTCTCTCGCCCCTTTTGTTCAACATTTATGTAAAGCCGCTGGACGAGATCATCCGTGGTTTCGGGGTGAAGTACCATCTGTACGCTGACGACACCCAGCTGTACATCTCCACCCCGGACCACCCCAACGATGCCCTTGAAGTGATGTCCCAGTGCCTGGAGGCCGTACGGATCTGGATGGGGAGAAACGGGCTCAGGCTCAACCCATCCAAGACCGAGTGGCTGTGGTTTCCGACGTCCCGATATAGTCAGCTGGTGCCATCGCTGGCTATTGGGGGCGAATCATTGGCCCCCACAGAAAGGGCTCGTAACTTGGGCGTCCTCCTGGATTCACGGCTGTCTTTAGAAGAGCACTTGACGGCCGTGACCGGGAGGATTTTTCATCAGGTTTGCCTGATTCGCCAGTTGCGTCCCTTTCTAGATCGGGACTCGTTACGCACAGTCACTCATGCCCTCGTCACCTCTCGTCTGGACTATTGTAATGCTCTCTACATGGGGCTCCCCTTGAGGTGCACCCGGCGGCTCCAACTGGCGCAGAGTGCGGCCGCGCGGGTGGTTATGGGAGCAGCGTGGAGCTCCCATGTAACACCTCTCCTGCGCGAGCTGCACTGGCTCCCGGTGGTCTTCCGGGTGCGCTTCAAGGTTCTGGTTACCACCTTTAAAGCGCTCCATGGCTTAGGACCTAGTTACTTACGGGACCGCCTACTACCATCAATAGCCTCCCACCTACCAGTACGCTCCCGGGGCTCCTCCAGGTGCCGTCGGCCAAACAATGTCGGCTGTCGGGCCCTAGGGGGAGAGCCTTCTCTGTGGGGGCACCGACGATCTGGAATGAGCTCCCCCCAGAGATACGGAGGATTCCGGATCTGTGCACCTTCCGCCGCAAGCTGAAGACTCTTTTATTTCATCAAGCTGGCCTCGCCTAAATCTTCTCCCTTTTAAGTGTAAATTTTAAATTTTTACTGTATTTTAAAATATGGGTATTTTAAATTATGGGTATCAATTCAGCCAAATTTATTTAATTCATTTTATTCGATTTTAAATTTTGTATATGTATGTGTTTTATTTCATGGCTGTTCACCGCCCTGAGTCCTTCGAGAGTAGGGCGGTATAGCAATTCAATAAAATAAATAAATAAATAAATAAATATCTGTAAGCCTCCCTCTATTTCTCACATTTTTGAAAAAGTGAAAAACAATTTCCTTTTTCATATCAGAAACAGTGTTCTCTTGTTTAAACTGTTTCAGTTTTATGTGAAATAGCTATATGCATATGTGTATATATGTGTGTACACACATACCAAGGCACACATGCAAGCTGTCTCCTTCCCAATAGAAGCACCTAGATATTGAAAACATGGTCATTAGTTGGATTACGCAAATGCAAGATAGAACAGATTTCAGAATTATTTCCCTTGACTTTGTACTGCCCTGTCTGAACATACCGCTGTGTGACTTAAAGATATTCTGCCTGAATATATGCATTATTAACTCTGTACCCTTTCTTTCCTGTCATACTTTTATCAATCAAGAAAACTGATATGTGCTCAGAGCTGGTGTAAATTAATTGGGGGGGGGGAAATGGAACAGGACAGAGATTTATTCTTTCCCTTCCTCCCACTCAAACTAGGTTTTCAGTTCACAACATAAAGGTGATAATAGGATTTATAACAGGAATTTTTATACAGTGCATAATCAATCAATGAAAATCACTATTATAAAATTCTATGGTGGCAGCTTATTATATACTCATTGGCAATTTCACTCAGAAACAAATTTCACTGACTTCAGTAAGACTTATTCCAAATAAGGATATGTGAATCACTTGAACGCTCTTCCAAAAGTGCTGAAAGATGGCCATTGCCGCCTTTTGATGCCTTAATCTGCAGCCTAAAAATACTCATATAGATTCATACATTCACATTAATATAATGTATTTCATAAAATACATTAATTTTGGTTATGTTTAAACCTATTTGTTTAATTATTACAATGCAAATGCTGTATCACATAATTCTTAGAAATGTAAAAACTGAAGGGTGTATAAGCCAGCTTGAATTTCTGAATGAAAAATTGGATATAAATAAATATATAATGTTTCAGGTCATGTATTTAAAGCTACCATAACTGGATTGCAACAATCTATAGTAGCAGTGATGCAGACAATTCTAGTTTTATTGTCATACAGATTTTTTGCAGTCCAGTTACTCTAATCTTGGGAAGTAAAAATCAAGTTAAATCAAGCAAATCAAGCAAAACATTCAGTATCTCTACACTTAAATAAACATGGATAGGATTCTAAAATTATATTTTTAAAAAATTCTGCACTGTAAAAATTCTTCCTCATGGAGGAACATCTATCCACACAGATATTGGCTATGAAAATTAAAATTAAATCAAGCCTGCATAAACAGTAAAATTAACTTTTGGATTGATAGATATTGCAGAGAAACAACAAACGA